CTTTTCTGCATCTGCTTGAACTCTTGAGATTATGATCTCATGCATCTGAATTTTTAGTGTTTGTTTTCCAGGCCTGCTGATAATCATGAAGAGCACAGTGAGTGACAATGAGGTCACGTACATGTACATATGTCACACTACAGTTTTATTAGTTTTATTCTCTCTAATAAATATTGAAATCTCCATGACTATAACTTTACTGAGGCTAAGCAAATCATCTTAATTGGTGTGGGAGATTTAATGCATGTACGTTTTTAATGTACTTGCAATTCTCTGCAGATGAAAAATTGAATAAAGTTCTTCAAGAAACAGGTCAGGCCATTTATTTCAATTAGAAATAATAATGAAATTCCAGTAAACTATTAAATGTCACTTAATCTATATTCAAGATAAATAGAGCACTAAATTTCTCTTGGCATGTTCCACAACAAGGTACCCTACTTGTCTTTATATTGACAAAATTGAATGGTCCTCTGCTGTCTCTTCCACAGTGACATTTAGTGGCTTTACTCCTGCTCAAACCCAGCATGGACATTACCCGTTTTGGAATAAGCCCATCAAAGAAAGAAGTGTTTTTGTGTGGAGTTAATGGCTATATTTCTTCTATATTTCTTTCACTGCCATCAGTTCATTCCCCAAAACTTATTTCTACAGGGCACAAGATTGTTAGAAGTCTCTCTACTACAGGGCACAAGATTGTTAGAAGTCTCTCTACTCTAGGCATAATTCACTTCCTAATTAACAACAGAATTATAACCCTTATATTAAATTATAACATCAAAGATAAATTTTTTGAGCAGCTAGATGTCTCATGATTTTACTTGACCATGGACTCTTGTTTGTAGGGCACTAAATCCCATCACCTCCACAAGAAGTTTCTTAGACATGTGAGACTCCTAAGGCTACCAGCCAGCAACAGCAAGTTTGGTATATGATAATTCTCTGTGTCTGAAGTCACCCACACACATGGCTTCAATTCCAAGTCTGCATGTCTTTTAAGGGATATATATTAAGTTCTGCTAAGTAACTGTTAGCCATTTCTGCTGATTATAATCAAACAGAGTTAAACTAAAATTTACCATAGCAATAGATTTCTATTCTGCCCACTCTGTTGTTCTACCTTTCATCTGAAACTACAGCAAAAAGAAAAGGCAGCAAAAGGATGCTTTTAACATCTCCACAGCCACATCCAGTATTCATTTTTGACCTTTTGACATGTTTACAGCTCAGCCAGCTAGCAAAAGGCTCTGAAGAAGCCAGAGGAGCAACACTTCCAATTCTCAGGGATGTTTTAAAATAAAACACCAAACTTGCTTGAGAACTTCATAACTGAATCCAAGAAGTACTCTTCAGGAAACAAGTGAAATGCATATACATATGTACACATAAACACACCAGCAGGTGCCTCCATTCATACATACTAATTTCTATGCATAGATATTAAGAGGAAAAGATGGCATTCTCCACCTAAGCCATGGAAAGGCGTGGAAGTGGAAGATTAGTATGCAGCTTAGCAAAACCAGGAATGAAAATAGATATAAAATAGGTAGGTCAGTGGTCTAGTGCCTCACTACTCTAATGCTTAAAACTCTAATGCTTAAATTATACCCACAATTTTCTAAAGTTTGACTTTGTTGGTTTTCTTTAGGTTTTGTTGGGTTGTTTTTGTTTTTTTTAAGAGACACTGCTATAATATGGCTCTTTCCCAGATGCAAAAATACAGTATTTAATCTTTCTTGCTCTAAACAACATCCAATGAATAATGTACAGTGGCGTGATCTTTTGCTATTCACTTCAAGCCATTTTGGAGATAGATTGCTATGGTGGGTGGCATTCAGAATAATGCATGTTGAGCAACACACACTCAAATCTTGCCAGCTTTATGGTTTCTTACAACATGCTACAATGTGAAATGATTCACACTGAGAAGAGAGAAAGTTTTTCCTGTTACTGTAAAAAATGATGTTATATGCATTTATTATCCAAAATAAATACATTGACACCACAGCCTAAAATAAAACTAGGAAAGTAAACTTTGTTTCTCTTTGTATTTCAAAATATTACATTTAGATTTAAGCTGAGTGATGCTTTCTGTGTAAGGCAAGCTTGTCCTGACAGTTAAGCCACCATTATTATCAGACCCATCAAATTAAAATAAAGTGAGCTAAAGAGGAAATCAATGCCAATTGAATTGATGTCATATGCTGGCATCTTATAAATTTTACAATTCCCATGGAAGAGTATCATAGAATAATTTAAGTTGGAAAAGACCTTTAAGACCACTGAGTTCATTATGCAGCACTGCCAAGTCCACCACTAAACCATGTCCCAAAGCGCCGCTTCTACACAACTTTAAAATACCACCAAGAGAAGGCAGAGGATCCACTTGGAAAGACTGAATTGGTAACTAAGAACACACACAAAGTCAAAAGGAAGATGTGATATAGCTGTGGAGGTGGTAATGTGGTGCAGATACACTGACAAGCCAGAACTTCCATGGGATTTTTTTATATCAAACATGTAATGGCAATTTTAGTCTAATGAAGTGTTATTCCAAATGGTGGGTGGGAAAAAAATCTCCCCAAAATGATACAGTAACTTTTTGAAGATGCTGTACTTAGACTATATGTTCATGACTGTTAAATCCGACATCATTTCTCTTACCGTATCATCAGACAGAAGTTCAGGAAAAGGGAACAAATAAATATCCCAAACCAGACAACTGTGCTGTATTTGAGAAGTGACTAGGGGACTCTGTCACTGAGACGTTGAAAAATTAAAATACAGAAATTTGCAGTTTTATTATCTGCACCTTGACAATGTTATCCAAGTTGAATTTTACCCATTATCCTCACGCCCACGTCCCTGACAGAAGATAATACATTCTCAATTTTAATTCCTCACATTTCCGTAAACCCAGATTCACATCTCTCCCCATCACTTTGCTTCCATACATTTCAGACATAAAATGTACCCACAAGTTGAAGGTCAACATCAACTTCTCAGTGTTTCTGAAAAATGGGACTTCAATTCATTGAAGAAAATACAGCAAACTTGGGTCATCAAACTACTCTGAAGCACTTCACTCTGAGCTCTGAAACTGACTCCCATGTATACCTTAGTTTCTTTCACAAATAATTTTCTTTTCCACTGTATTAATAATTATATTCTATTGTTTTACTTATTCTGTGTATTATATTTCCAGCAGGAAACCTACCAAAAATTTCAGACAAAACAATTTCAAACTTTCAAAACTGATGAATATTACATCGTAACCTTTTCAAAACATAAGACTTAGGTAAACACTGAAGTTTCATCAGACTGGAATGGACTCTTCTGAGATGTACCCTTTCCTGGTCTCTTAGCAGACTGTGCATCCTGGAGATTGACTGACCTGTGCTGGAGCAGCAGATGAATAGTTTTGACATTCACCAGTCACTACCATCTTCCAGCAAATAAATCCAGGCAACAGTTAGATTCAGCTGCTGGAGTTCTTCCTCCAGCCAGATGACCACCTGCTTGAGGTGCCATTTCACCAACACAAACACTATAACAGGACCACTAGCGAAAGATGGGCGAAGCCATCCCTCTTCAACACAATGGAAAAGTTCCACAAAAAAGACAAACAAGCACCCAATTCATTAAGACCATCCTGTCAATTTCCACTTTCCCACCTCAAACTAAAGTGGACTGAAAGAACCCGTTAATGAAAAAAAGGGAGACAAAACCAAAACACAGCGCCATGTCATACCACCAGCACCAAAAAGTGCTGATGGATCTGACCTTTGTTGGCCCCACTACACTTCACACCTTGCTGGTGCTCAGTCCCTGCCATATTCCCCTCTAAAACGCCACTGGCACAACTGGAGAAACTCAGCACCGGTGCATGGCAGAGGCAGGACCAGGCCCTGCCGGACCCGCATCTCCAGCCCAGCCGCCCCGCTACTCCTGCACACCCAACACCACGGCTCCTCCTGGGGTGGCGGCCGGCGGGACCCTCTTACCTTGTTGGAGTAGGGCGGTTTACTCAGGTTGATGCCGTCGCGGATGAGCTTGTCCCGGATCATGATCTTCAGCTTCAGCCTGGGGTACGCGACCA